ATGGGACAGCCAGCAAGCGGGAGCAGCTCTAAGTGAAGGCTGGGTTCACCGCCGCTTGCTTGATGAAGCATTTTCGTTACTTTAATATTTTTGTATCAGTTGGATCTCGTGATTGGGATCACATCTGAGCACCCAATCACGGGAGATCTAGCAAGCAGGAGCAGCCCTAAGTGAAGGTTGCGCTCACCGCCGCTTGGTGGGTGAAGCATCTTTATTATTTTAATATTTTTAAATTGTATAATTAGTAAGATCCCGTGATTGGGATCACGTATAATCACCCAATCACGGGATAGCCAGCAAGCGGGAACAACACTGAGTGAGGGCAGCAAGCTGCTCATTAGCACCTGCATGATTATTGGTCTGTTTTATTTTATGTTTGAAGCAAACTGCACCCCTTTGCAATATATGAACAGGGAGTGCGCAAACTACACCCCTGTGCAGTATTTGAACAGAGGTTGTGCAAGCTGCGTCCCCGTGTTGTATTCGAACAGGGAAAGCACTAGCTGCACCCCTGTGCCGTATTTGAACAGAGGTTGTGCAAGTTGTGTTCTTGTGTTGTATTTGAACAGGGACAACACTAGCTACACCCCTGGGCAATATTCAAACAGGGTTGTGCAGTGTGCATATGACACTCGAGTAATTAGTTGATTGGGTTCAAGTGTTGCTTACTGCAAAAGAAGATCAAAGCACACTGGACGGGGCTGGTCTCTGTAGCAGAGCATCAATCAGGCTATTGGGATGGGTTTGGTTACTCTATCCACATCAGTAAAGACTTGGCTAAAGGGACAAGCCATACATGAGCGCCTATGGAAGAGGGCAGTAGGCAATCGCAAACCAACTCAAAAGTGGCCGCTGCAACAGAACACCAGGAATTTAATCTATCTATTTATTAATCTATTATTTACTCACCCTTGAGCTCATCACATGTAGCAAGGCTGACAACTCATAATTGAGCATACTTAGTTGTGAAGGATTTGGATAGCTTGAGAGAATGTGAGAAACAAGTCTTCGCACGAGGTTTTGAGAAGTGTTCTAATTGAGGGAGTCTGTTTCATTTTCAGAGACGCATCTAAGGATCAAACACCACAAAACTCAGGGGGACTTCATTTTGAATACTTTGACCGTTCAGATCTTCAATCGATCAATATTCAGACATAACGAAAAGTGGATGCGCGAGCAGGGTTTTTCCCAAGTGAGCGGTTTCGAGTACCACAAACAACTAGAGGCGCCTCGTACTATTTATTTTATTTATTTATTCCTTAGGTGTAGTGTGGACTGCAATCTGGTAGTGAGCTATGGAGGCAGCTTTCATTGTGTTGCCTCAACCGAAGCGATTATTTAATCATTTTTATTTATTTATTTATTAACGGGAGGAGAGTAAATCACCCCTCTATAAAGTATTCAAACTGCCTGGGTATAATACATACTTTTGTGCTGCAATCGGCCAGACGGTGCTAGGATTGTAACCCCATGCAGCTTTTGAATAGGGGCAATGCAGAGCTGCACCCTATGCTGCACCCCGTGTTTTAATTGAACAAAAGGTGAGTAAGCAACACACAACAAATCTGATTCAGGTCGTGCTCAGCGAACCTAGCTTGTTATTGGCCGCACTCTAACTCAGCCTCTAGGCTTAGATGATGCTGGTGGCACACAAGTTGCTGAGCAAGATTCACTATGTGGACCCATTGTGGGCAGACACGAACTGAAGTAAGAACTGTGTCTACTTCGCACTGAAGTAGACACAATAGACACGAAGGATGAACTGAAGGATGAACTACCTCAACCAAAGTCGAGCCTAACAATCTCAGCCTAAGGAAGCCAACAAACTTTTTTTTTTTTTTCAGTGGACACAACTGGAAGTGGTTCAGGGAGGAGAGAGAGAGCTGATTATAATGACAATGGTTTACGATTTGTATGTTCGTTTGTGGCCTTGATGCGATAAAGAGCTCTCCTCTTCTCTCACGTGATCATTGAGATTGTCTTTGCCTTGAGTCAGTTAGTCTTGGTTCGTTCTGTTTGGCATTGCTCGATGATTATATTTTCTGATGATCTCGTCACAGTTCTCAAAATTAGCAAAATGGCAAAATCGATATGTGCATGACACATCAAAATTTCAGGATTATTATTTACTTGATCTTTGCTGTTCCGAATCAAAATAAAAGATTCCTAAGACTGCGAACTAGCAAAGACCGCAATTGAAGGGTCTCGCTCGAAGCCGGACGCACACAACAGGAGGGGATTTGCTTTAATTAATTTATTTTATTTAATGCATTATTCTACAAAATCCTGCGTGACAGCCTGTTGGCTTTCTGGTCGCCCGAAGTGGCTTGACTGGGAAAAGTGTGACAGCGCTGAGGAGAGGCACACGGAGGGAGGTGAGCGGACAGAGGAGGTCGGAGGAGGAAGGAGGGAGGGAGGGAGGGAGGGACGAGGGACGAGGGACGAGGGATGAGGGAGGAGGGAGGAGGGAGGAGTGGGAGGGGGGGATGAGGGGACACGCGAGTTGAAGGGAGGGAGGAAGAGGGAGAAGGTCGTTGGAGGAAGAGGAACGACTTTTTTTTTCTTTGTCTTTTTTTTTTGCTTTCTATCTCACTTTCCTTTTCGATTTGTCCGTTGCCGTTATTCAATCAATCAATCAATCAATTAATGAAGATTGACTAAGGTTGATCCAATTGCAGCTACAACAAGTTGGCAACTGCCGGGCCATTTTGCAAAGTTCCACAGCTTCCGGTAGGGGTACATTGCAAATATGGTATTCAACTGATGGCTGCGGTGTTTGTGTTATCGTCCTTCGCCGCAGCATGGTCCACTTGTTTTATTAATAGCAATTGTAACAGCTGCAATGAACCCGATCCTGGTGAGAAGCCAAACAGTGTCGTGATGTAAGTCTGATCCCAGCTGACAAATAATGTCTCCAAAATCGTTATGCACTTCGTAAGCGCCTCGTAACCTCAGAGAAGAGAAGGAGGTAGTGGGGAGAATAGACAAAGAGGAGGAGAAGAAGAAGAAGAGTCCCTGTCACTCATGCGTGAATCCCTCTTCCTCCTTGGGCAGTATCTCCCCCTCTTGCCACTTCAGCAATACAGATTCTCTCCCCTGACGTCCTCTGACATTACAGTGTGCAGGTCACAGCAGGTGCAGGTCCTCCTCACCTTCATGGAGACGAACAGCAGCTCACTTGCAACGTTTGCCAGGTAAGTCAAGGTAAGCTTCCCCTCATACACTCACAATCTCACAGCCCTGATCTTCCTCCTCGCCCAGCCTATTCACAATGTCTATAGCTATGGCGACAATGGACGCTTCAGCAGAATCTTCCCTGATGTTGGTGCCCACCCAGCAGCACTGGCGCCAACATAATCCCCCCGCAGCCTTGCCATATCATACTAGCATCAAGCCAGCGCAAGGCAGAATGATCTCCACACAGGGCTGGGTCAACTTCATTGTGTTAACTCATGTTGACCAGTCTCTGGTCTCCTTGGGTCGACGGCCCAGATGAATCGGAAGCCAATGGCCTGGATGCAGCGCAGTTCCCAAGTTCCCATGCGTCCCACTTGGACTGGAATCTTCTGTATACGTGCAGACAACCAATGATGTGCATCTGATCGACGACTGTGGATAACCAGCGGGTTGACTTTGACTTTGGGCCTGGAATCCCGTGCTGGGGTTGACCGTTGACTTTCCCAAAGTCAACTGTCGCTCGTAGGGCTTCTGGATGGTGTTTTTGGCCCTGCCCTGGGCACCCCTTGGCCCAGGCTTTTCTCAGACTTAGGCCGTGACTTTTGACCCCTGTTTCGGGCCTTTGACCAAAAGTGACGACCTATAGCCCACGGCTTATGCAGATTTGAGCTGAGTTATTGCACAACTTTTGCGCTTCACAGATTACTGCAGCACATCGTTGTGACGTCTTGGTCATATTCAGTCGCAACAGCTGTTAAGATATATATATATATATTGTGACGATATACATAGATTATCATTTACAGTGTAATCAGTGAGGGGATTCTGCAGACTGTTGAGGGTTCAGCCTCCTGATGAGTCGGTGAAACTCCGACGAAACAGTTTGTCACAGCCCCTCGTTTGTTGTCCTCTTCTCTCTCTCTGCCTACGGTTTACCGGGCAGTTCTGTTTGTGACGATATATATATGTATATTGTGACGATATATATATATTTATTATTATTATTTTTTTTTTTTTGAAAGACATCCCTTTTGGATGCTAGCTTGTAATGAAATGGGCAGCACATCATTGCGATTGAAACAGACGATGATCCTTGTAGCTGTGTTCACTCAACTTCAATGCCTCCCCCTCTCAATTTCCAGGCACATCCTACTGGGTCTATTCCCCTGTATTTCTGTAGTTGGGGAATAGACTCTCTAATCTCCATTATCCATAACCCAAGAAGGAGCCAAATGTTGTTCTGGCCATCTCACTTTCTGATGTGGAAGGGGACTGAGGGAGCAGGATCTTGATGTCAGGTTCCCTGATTCCCAGCCTTCCTGGCAATGTATCTTACCGTAGTAGTTAATTCGTGGCGTTTTGCCCACAACTCGCAGTATAACACTGTCATGTTGGTTGGTTGTTTTGTTTCCAGATCTAGAACTGCCGGAAGACGATGACTTTGCAGATGCACGTAGGCAGCTGTTCGAGAAGTATGAATTGACATTCTCACATGCACTAAGAGCCAGCCCAAGAATCCCATCCAAGCTGTTGGCAGCACTCCGTGTCATGAGCATGGATGAGGAGGACTTTGCAAATTTTTCACAGGACGGATCTAATGTCATGGTGAGTTAGCAGGTGCCATGACTGGTTTTCACGGGCTAATTAATACTAGTTCAATAGTCATCATGATGTGGGATAATGTGAGTAGATTTCAGTGACATTTAGTGGTCAAGAATACTGGGGAGTATGCTCTTTGCTTCCAGTCTGTCAGGCTGTGCCAGTTGAGTTAGTTCTGTCATGTGGAAGGATTGTTGTATGTATTGTTCTCCTTTTCTGTGGCTCCCCTAAAGTCAAAAGCGAGCTATGTGTGATGCTTTTCCGGGTAGGGGCGGTCCAAGGGCTGAGTGTGTGTGGGTGCGTGTCCTCGAGTGTGGGTGTCTTTGTGCCTGTCAGTGTGTGGGTGGGTGGGTGGGTGTGTCTGTCCGCGTGTGTGTGTGTGTGTGTGTGTGTGTGTGTGTGTGTGTGTGTGTGTGTGTGTGTGTGTGTGTGTGTGTG